CTTGGAGTCAATCCTAGAGGATTGATACCTAACCATATTTGGCAGATGGACGTCACACACTTGCCAGAATTTGGAAAATTAAAATATTTGCATGTTACAGTTGATACTTCTTCTGGATTTTTGATGGGCTCCCTTCATGCCGGAGAAAAAACTAAAGATGTTATAGCTCATTGCTTACAAAATTTTGCCACTGTGGGTGTTCCAAAACAGTTAAAAACAGATAATGCCCCTGGTTATACTTCTACCTCTTTTAAACAATTTTGCTCAACATTTGGCATTACATACCTCTTTTAAACAATTACATACCTCTTTTAAACAATTTTGCTCAACATTTGGCATTACATACAATCCACAGGGACAAGGCATAGTTGAAAGAGCTCATCAAACTATTAAAATGTACTTATTAAAGCAAAAAGAAGGAATTGGGAAGGGGTATATATTCCCCAAAGATAAACTTAAAATAACCCTTTTTACTCTAAACTTTTTAAATTTGGATTCATCAGGACTTAGTGCTGCGGAAAGGCATATGTGTCCAAAAAATGTACATAAGCCCAAGGTACTTTGGAAGGATATTCTAACAGGACAATGGAAAGGTCCTGACCCAGTAATTGTCTGGAGTCGGGGGTCTGTTTGTGTGTTTCCACAGGGAGAACAGCAGCCGATTTGGATTCCAGAGAGATTAACCAAGGTCCTGACCCAGTGATTGTCTGGAGTAGGGGGTCTGTTTATGTGTTTCCACAGGGAGAACAGCAGCCGATTTGGATTCCAGAAAGATTAACTAAAGCGATTTCTACAGACCAAAAAGAAGATGATTTGGCTCAAATCCATAACAACTGATATCCAAAACTCCAGTTTGGCTATTCTTACATCTGCAACAGAACCAGGATGCTTTTTTCAATATCTATTTTATTATTGCCCTTTGCCATATCATGAAGTTCTATTTTGTTTTTTGAGCTCATACAGACCTAGGTTAATGTTTTGCTGATCAGTTCTATTTTTTGACTACAGAGTTTTTAAACATTGCAATGGAGATTTCACCTGTAAAAAGTTATAAGGCCTTTACTATAATGTTATGTGTTGTATGTATTATATTATGTGTGCACACTTGTGTTTTGTGTTATATGTTTGAATGTATGTATGTCCATATATCATATATGATGAGCGCTCATGATAAAATGGATCCAAACATTTTTTTCACGTGATTTATATGGTTTAATTTAAATTGGGTAAACAACTGTTGAGGATTGTTTTAATATGTAAACAAAAAAGAAGGTTAACAGATCTGTTTGTTTACTTTCACCTTTCCTTTTCATTATATTTAATAATTCTCTTAAAGATAATGTAAATTGTTAAGAAAATTGTTTTCTTTTAGTGCCTTCTGTAACGTTACATAATTTTTTCTTTAGCCATTATTGCCAGAATTCCTATCTTCATCCCAGTGCTGGTGAAGTCAAAGATAAAACCAATCTACAGCTTCTACAATAGCCATCACTGAACTGCTTGCAGAACTTGCCTGGACACATTGTGAGCTCACCTGTATGCATTGTGAACTATCTGTTGGTGCAGCGACTTGTGGTAGTGTTGGGGTATTTTTGCTGATGATGTCATTGGTGGTACAATTTTTCCAAAAGGAGCCGTCAATTGGCTTGGTGTATCTTCCTCCCTTCTGCTTGTCATGATCGTCCAGCTAAAATTTGGGGGCCAACAGAGGTGAGGCAAAGAACCTCACCCCCCCCCCGCTGGTACAAAGACCTCTCCACAGGTGTGGCTGTATACTGGACTGGTAGTCAGTGATGGGTACGATCCAATTGCAATGGTACCAACCTAAGGACCATATGTACTATTAGACAACCTAAGGCAGGCACAGTCCCTAAGCCACATGCTTGTTGTTTAAACAGAGAGGGGGAGATGTTGAGAGCCACAGCCGAAGGGGCCCCAGCAAACTTCCAGCTGCCGGCTGATGATTGGCTCACAGCGGCCCCAGCAACATCTAGCTGATTGGCTCCTCTGCGGTGATGCTCATTGGGCTGTTTCCCTGCCCTTTCAGACCACGGAGCTGCTCATTGGGGGACTTTTTTGGCTCCGCCCATGTGACCCAGCCAATCGGCCTCAAGAGCAGGAGGATTGTGGGAGGTGGAGAGAAGCTTGTGTGGGAGAGAGAGGCTTGTGGAAAGCTGGTGGTGGCAGTTGAGGCTCTGAGGGTTTTTCCTGAGAGGCTGTTTTGTTTGGCGTGTGTCTAAAAATAAAGTTAGTTTCTTTTGACAAGTGGCTCCTGATTGTGCCCAGCCAGACTGCGGCAATGGTGTATGTCCAGGGGTCTGTCTGTTTCTATCCAGTTATTGTTTGTGTGTGTGGAGTTGTTCTCAGCCCTCATCTATGGTCCTCCCTGCCACCAGTGGTTGCGGTTGGAATGCTCCTGATTTCATTTTTGATGTTCTTTGTCTTCCCTTTCATTCTTTCAGCCATTCTGCATTGAAGATTGTCAATTTTGTTTTCCTTATCAAGGAACGACCCCTGGGTTGTTGGGTTGATGTTTACTACTGTTCTGAGTGCTTTTCATTTATTTCTATTCTCATTTTTATTCTTGCCCTTGTTCTGGAGATTTGGGAGAATGGTTTTTAATGTTGTTCCTCCAGTTCCTTAAAGGGTCCAGTTAGGTAGCTTATTTGGAAAGGTTTTCTTTTCACAAAATGAAATGTGTTGCTCTACAACTCTTCACATTCCCTGCATGGGGTCCCCCGAGGTCTAGTGTGTGATCCTCTGATTCTTGTTTTTCTCAAGAGCTTTTCTGATTCCACTTTTGAGTTCTTCTTTGCATTATTGCTTAAAAGGCATTGTTTAAACTCTCCCATATTCTTTCTTTGCAGTTGTCCTTCTTTATTTTAATTTTTATTTTAATTCTACCGTGCTTCTAAAGATACTAGATGTGACCTCAGTGTTCTTTGGAGGGAGGAGGCTTGTTTGGTGACCTGGTGTTATCCTCCTGCTCTGAGCGCATCACAGTCGTGTATTCTGCTGTTGGTTGGAACTTTTCCATATGTCTTAGGTCCTGTCTGTCCCAGTAGTGTTTACGCCTTGATGTGATGATTTTTTTTGCTGTTATTATATTGCTGTTAATTTATCTTGCATTCTGTCCATATTTTATTCATTTTTTTCCTGACATTATGTCAGACATTTGTCACTAGGACACCTTCTTGGTGAGCTTATGCTCTTTCCCTGTATGTGATGGCCTTCTTCTCCTCTGACCCTGGGTGACCTAAAGTCCAGATTCTTTATTCATGCTCGCTTGTTTCCTTCTTGCAAGTTGCATCATTTTCCTGTCCTGTTATTCTCTGTGTGTTCTTACAACTCCAGGGCTTGTATTTCACAGAGATTACATGGGTGGGTGTTTTTTTTTTTTTTGGTGTGTTTATGAAGACACCCTATGTCACTTGATAGTGAAGATTTATTAATTCACACTTAACAGGTGTTGATAATGACTTAAATCTCCATTTTGCTCATTGGTCTCTTTTCTGTCATTCTTTGGTTTCTTTAATATTCTTTTATGTGTTCTCAGGGTTTTTTAAGTTATATACACATATCCTCTGCTTCCTTTACTTCTTCAAATTTTTTCTACAGTATTTTTTCAGAATATTTTACATTTAATTGATTTCCCTCATTTAAATATACTATATTACAAGTGCACAATTTTTGCAATACTAATCTCATGATTAGGAAACTTTCCATGGGTCACCTACCGATTCAATTTGGTGTTTTGACTTCATATACATTTCTCCTGAAAGCCTTCTGTTGGAGCTACCTACTACAGTGCTTAAAGTCTTTGAAAGGCTGAGCAGCACAGAGTGGGTACTTAGCAGAATCCATAGGAAGAACACTTTTCCTGGGAGAAACTTAAGGATTCACACTTTTCAAAATGAGTCTTCCAATAACTGGAACAAACCAGTCATACCTGTTTTAAAGCTCACCAAATTACACTGTGGCCCATTGAGAATCTTACCACTTACTTTTTAATTTCCAAACCAATATTTTCCACAGCGGGTTTATGACAATTAAACACACGTTTATTGTGAAATATATATATAAAACAAAACACCAGATATATTTAAAATAAACATTGTGACTCTTCCTTCAGTGTACTGTCATTGCATTGTGTGTTCACATTATTGCACAACTGTCCCCTCTGTGAATTTTCTGCATTTTTCTTCTTTTGGAATAGAGATAAAAATTCTCCACTGTCCACTTTGTTGGGTCCCTGGAACTTCATTCTATTTTTCTATCCCTATCAATTTGGCTACTCCAACTTCCACCTCCTTTAAGTAAATTTACATAATATTTGTTCTTTTGTGACTCACTTGCTTCAGTGAGTAACTTAAAGCCTCAGGTATGATGCACTGTGTGCCCAAATCTTCTTCCATTTTCTAAGTTCCTAATATTCCAGTGTCTGTAGAAGCTATGTATTGTTTGTATCTTCTTATGGATGTAGGTACTGAGTTGTTTATACCTTTGAATATTTAAAACATGGACTTATGAGCAATTTTATAGAAATAATGTTTTGAGTCCCTGCACAGAGTGTGTGTATGTGTGTGAGTATGTGTGTGTGTGTGTGTGTGTGTGTATGTGCATTGGATCAGGTGATATTTTATGGTTGTAAAAGTTTACATTATCTACTTTGGAAAAACTACAGATAACTGAGACAATGAAATTATTGAAAAGCCTTGGAAATATTGTATCTAAAAAATAGTATGGAATATACAAGGCCTGACAAGTGACATTCACTTCACAGGGTCCCTTGCAGACACCATGTGAAAAATGAATCCCTGGTAATATCTCAGAGAGGCATGTGGTTTAACTTTCTCTTATATATTTGCCATACGCATGTTTCCAAATAAATCATTTTGAGAGAAGAAGGAGAAATTTGTATTGCATTTAAAACAGAACATACACCCTCCACCATGATGAATTATTTGAAAGCCAGCACATTTTTTTCATCTTAACACAATTTATCCATCACTGGCTATTGAAATATGTAGTGTCTTACCCCACATATATCTCAAAATACTAATAATAAGTTTTTCAGTAGCAATGAACACCAAAGGGCTGAATGAGGCATAGCTATGGGCCACGAGGATCTGGATACAGTAAAATATTGGATCACCATTCACTGTGAGTCTTGCATAGGAGAGAATGCTGTCCAAGATGGACATGACCACAAAGCAACTCAAGAGCAGCAGGATTGTCCACGTAGCCCTCAGTTCTGGGGATGATATTGGGGACAGGCTGGTGCTATGAAGATTATAGGACTGCCTATTATGCCTGCACAAGAGAGCCACATGTATCCATTTGCGATGGCCATCATTCCTATAAGGGAGCCTTCCCTGAAGGTCAGCAGGGTGGAAAAGGTGTGTTGGAGGAGGGAGGTCATGGGCTAAAGAGAGCAAGATTCTATGACGTACATAAAGTTGTCTGAGGTCAAATTGGGGGTAGCATTAATGGAGATGAAGAGGTGGCTACTGAAGGATGAGTAGATGACCCACAAGAAGAGAAGGAAATACAGGCTGTGATGTGAGGATTTATGTTTGAACTTTGCCAAGCAGGAGCCCCTGGGGCTGAGGGTGATGGCTTGGAGGACACTCAGCAGGCAGGTGGTGCAGAGGGAGAAGCCCCTCATTAACCTGTACAGGTAGATGAGCAATTTACATTTCACATGACCCCACCTTTCCCCCTGAGATGTATAAATATCTGAATCTATGAAACCCTTGATGAGCAGCATTGATAGGTGAATTAGTGCTAAGAGACCAATGGCCAGGTCAGTGGGCTTAGGTCTGTGCCTGGTAATGTGCAAGGAGACGTGGACGAGAAGAAGAAGGGCATTGGCTATGACCCCAATGCCAATTTCAGTGTACACGGTGTTTCTTATGTGAATGTTACTGTACAGTTTGTGGGCTTTGCCCATCTTATGGGGAAAAGAAAAATATTATTAACACCTTAGGGAAAAAAAACAAGAAAATGTCTTTTTTGGAAATATGATCTTCTTCATGGATCTCAACGAAAATTACTGCCATGAGGAAAAAAAAGAAAATTCATCCAAATGTATCTTTATGCCACATGAAAACTCAATTCTGGTGCTGAGCACAGTGGTGTCTGCCTGAAATCCCAGTGACCTAAGAGGCAGAGGCAGGAGGATTACAAGGGTAAAGCCAGTCTTGACATCATGGGGAGAACCTGTTTCAAAATATAGAGTAAAAAAGACGGAGTGTAACTTGGTGCTTACCCACAAAGCAATCCCAAGCAAAAAATAGTAAAATAAGTGATCCCCGTGTTTTACCTCACATCCCCGAAAACCTGTCCCCAAAACCAATCCCCATGCACTGACTCATCTCAACACCTCCCAGCCTTGGCTAGATTACATGTGCCATTGGGATCTCCACAATGGCATACTTAATATGCCAGTTTTCTTGTGTATTAAGAATTATGAAGCTGGGGTTTAGGCTTACAGGTAGATCACTCGACTAGCATGGGTGAGTCATTGGGTTCAATCCTCAGCACCACATAAAAACAAATAAAAGAAAGGCATTCTGTCCATATACAACCACAAAAGACAAACTTTAGAAAAAAAGAATTACCAGCCAGTCATGGTGGCACACTCATCTGATTCCAGCAGCGTGGGACACTGAGGCAGGAGGATCACAAATTGAAGGCCAGCCTCAGCAACTTAGCAAGGCCCTAAGCAACTGAGTGAGACCCTGTCTGAAAATTTAAAAAAAAAAAAAGGTCTGATGACGTGGCTCAGTGTTAAGCACCCTTGGGTTTAGTACCTCTTAAAGAATAATAATAAGCATTACCACATATTTTAAAATATGTTTCTTTCCTATCACCACACGTGTGTGGTTTTCTGGAGCGAGACAGAGTCTTGCTTGATTTTCACATTGCTGATCTTGTTTGTCAGGTACACAGTAATAGCTCTCCAGTTTTAGGAGGATTTGAGTGGGGTTGCTTGCAGGAAATTGGAATGAGCCCCTCCCAAGCCAAGAGTGTCACAGATTAGACATGCTCAGAGGTATTTCATGTCAGCACCATGTTAATTCTGGTTTATTTCCTGCCAGACCAAATATCTGTGATATACAAACAAGAAAACATGGGTGTAAATTCTGAATTCCTGTGGCTGAATTTACTTGTATTATCTTCCATTCACAGTAGCCTCCCCTTGAGCTCTCTCTGATGCTGAGATACAGTCATCTCAGCAATCAACATAGTCATGTGAATACTTTAGGTATCATATGTGAAATAAATAAAGTGTGTGTACCAACCTTGGAAGTGTTTGTGGCACATAATAAACTCCCTAGAAGTGTTGGCTTCTAAAGTTGTTATCATGGGGACTCCAAGATGGCCACGAATAGAGTGCATCACACCCCGTGTACCGCGCCACTGCGCAGGTGAATAACGAGTTAGAATGACAAAAAACTATCTTGTTAGGAACTTACAGCAAAATGGGGGTGCACCGAAACCTAGAAGAAGGATTTCCAGCACCAAGGTCTGGTAATTGAGTCTCAAACACGAGCCAACTGTGTGACTGGAGATCCGGGCTGACTGATCCACGCAGCCCGCCCCGCGGCTACAGATGGCAGGGCACCACTGAGAAGCGACCAGCAAGCAGGGAGAAATGTTGCTGCGGATTCTGTGGAATCCTGCCGGCTGAGCCCCCACTGAGCCCTGGGCTGAGTTCGGGATTTCAGACGGGGAAGGAAGCGGTACAATTCTATCCCCCACAACGGAAACTCCACCAAGGGAACCAGCAGCCACCATCTTGGAGAGCTGAAGTAACCACCGCCACTCTCCGACAGATTGCAACAATAAAACAGGTGTGTGTTACGCAGCTCATTTCCCATACAGCGGGGAATTCGCATAATATCTTTCCTAGGCTTTCCGGGGGAGGGATTATCAGAGCAAGCCTGCATAAAGACTCGGGGAAAACTAGAGACACCTGACTTTCAACTCCCCTTCTCATCAGCTGAGAAAACAAAACCTGTCTAGCCAGTGCTGGGGGAGGGGCAAGCGTAAAAAATCAAAACAATAGAGTGCCGGGGTTCCCAACAGACACCCTCCACACCCAACAAACCGCAGGCCCACAGTACAGTTTGAACTGCCGAGAGGCATCACTCAGGGGAAATCTGGTCTAGCAGGAGAAACCAGGGGACTAGAGGCCAGGCCCTCGCGACTGGGTGGCTGGAGACCGCACGCCCGCCGGCGACAGTCCACCCATTGCCCGCGTGACTGGGCGGCTGGAGACCACCCGCCCACCGGCGGCCAACCGCACGAATGGGCGGCTAGAGATCGCCCGCCCCGCCGGCAACAGCCCACCCACTGCCCCTGCGACTGGGCGGCTGGAGACTGCATGCCCGCCAGCAACCGATCACCCGCCCACTGCCTGCACGACTGGGCGGCTGGAGACCGCCCACCGCCGGTGAACGACAGCACGACTGGACGGCTAGAGATCGCCGGCCCCCCTGCGACAGCCCACCCGCTGCCCGCGTGACTGGACGGCTGGAGACCACCCACCCGCTAGTGACCTGGAGCTGAAACCAACCAGAGACAGTCCAGTCCAAACCCCCCCATTTGGACACCCCGGCAAGGAGCCTGGGGCCCGCCATTCCAGAGAGGTGATGTCACTGGAGCTCGGCCGATGGAATTCCTTCCCAGCGGAATCCACTTTAGCAGGCATAGTCTACCAACACAAAGGAGAGGCAACAAAAATATACAAAACCAAAACAAATCTATAGAAGAGAGCAGAAATACAGCAATCAAATAGAGCTGGTAAGTAACTTGAACATCATGAAAAAACAAGGGAAAAAAGGAGTACAAACAATGCAGGACAACTTAATTCTACAGGAGGACCTAGAAGCATCAGAAACAGGGATAGGGAAAGAACTCAAGGCATACCTAACTCAGATGGAAAGGAATATTAGAGAAGACATGAGGCAGCAAGTCCAAGCAATAAAACTATATTTTGAAAATGAATTAAACAAACAAATTCAAATGGCAAAGAATGAGCTTTACCAGGAGATAGAGATCTTAAAAAAAAATCAAACAGTAATCCTAGAAATGCAGGAAACTATAAACAAAATTAAAAACTCAAACGAGAATATTACAAATAGACTAGATCAAGTAGAAGTCAGAACATCAGATAATGAAGACAAAGTTTATCAACTTGAAAAGAATATAGTCAACACAGGAAAGATGCTTAAATCCCACGAGCAATCTATTCAAGAGATATGGGATGTCATAAAAAAACCAAATCTGAGAGTCATTGGGATAGAAGAAGGCACAGAGAATCAAACCAAAGGAATGGACAACATATTAAATGAAATAATTCTAGAAAACTTCCCAGAGATGAAAGATGGAATGGATTGCCAAATCCTGGAAGCCTACAGGACCCCAAACATTCAAAACCATAATAGACCAACTCCAAGACATATAATTATGAAGATAGCCAACATACAGAATCAGGAAAGAATAATAAAAGCTACAAGAGAAAGGAGGCAGATTACATTCAGGGGTAAACCAATTAGGTTAACAACTGATTTTTCATCACAGACTTTGAAAGCGAGAAGATCCTGGAACAATGTATTTCAAACACTGAAAAATAATGGATTCCAACCAAGAATACTGTATCCAGCAAAATTAAGCTTCAGATTTGACAATGAAATTAAAATCTTTCACAATAAACAAAAGCTAAAAGAATTCACAGCCAGAAAACCAGCACTGCAAAGCATTTTGAGCAAAATATTACAAGAAGAGGAATTGAAAAATAGTGCCCAAAACTAACAGCAGGAGGTATCTCAGTAAAGGGGGAGGAAAATAACCAAAAAGTAAAAACTAGCCAAACTAAAATAAATAAATAAATAAACATGACTGGAAGTACAAATCATATTTCAATTGTAACCTTAAATGTTAATGGCCTAAACTCACCAATCAAGAGACATAGGCTAGTAACCTGGATCAAAAAAACAAATCCAACAATATGCTGCCTTCACGAGACTCATATGATAGGAAAAGACATACACAGGCTGAAGGTAAAAGGTTGGGAAAAATCAAACCACTCACATGGCCCTCGGAAGCAAGCAGGAGTGGCCATACTCATATCGAATAAAATCAACTTCAAACCTAAGTTAATCAAAAGGGATAAAGAAGGACACTATATACTGTTAAAAGGAACCATCCACCAACAAGACATAACAATTATCAATTTGTATGCACCAAACAATGGAGCTGCAACGTTCATAAAACAAACTCTCCTCAAGTTCAAGAGTCAAATAGACTACAACACAATAATTATGGGTGACTTCAACACACCGCTCTCTCCATTAGACAGATCCTCTAGACAAAAACTGAATAAAGAAACTATAGAACTCAACAGCACAATCAATAACCTACACTTAACCGACATATATAGAATATATCAACCATCATCAAGTGGATCCACGTTCTTCTCAGCAGCACATGGATCCTACTCAAAGATAGACCATATATTATGCCATAGGGCAACTCTTAGTAAATATAAAGGCATGGAGATAATACCATGCACCATATCTGATCATAATGGAATGAAACTGGAAATCAATGATAAAAGAAGGAAGGAAAAATCCTACATCACATGGAAAATGAACAATATGCTACTGAATGATCAATGGGTTACAGAAGACATAAAGGAGGAGATAAAAAAATTCTTAGAGACAAATGACAATACAGACACAACATTCCAGAATCTATGGGACACAATGAAAGCAGTTTTAAGAGGGAAATTCATTTCTTGGAGTTCTTTCCTCAAAAAAAGAAAAAACCAACAAATAAATGAACTCACACTACACCTCAAAAACCTAGAAAAGGAAGAGCAAAACAACAGCAAGTGTAGTAGAAGACAAGAAATAATTAAAATTAGAGCAGAAATCAATGAAA